ACTTTAAGCGAGAAGTCATCCCGCAAAGAGTCTCAGTGTTCCAGGGGTATTTCACCAAAATGTCGAAGTCCAAGCCGAGACATTTCCGTAAGAGAAGATCAGTTGTCCAAGATGACGAATTCCCTGAAGTCACCATCAACATGGCTGATAAAGGAAAATCTAAGTGACATTCAAGTAAATCAAATCCCGACTTTTCCCCTGGTGAAAAAGTCAATCCAAGAATTACTCAACGAATGTCTCAACTCCAGTTAGGAGCCATCAAACGTAGGGATTACAAGAGAATGCATGAAGGAATGTCCTTGGAGGATGAACTTTCGGACACTTGTTCTGCGATCCCTTCTGATGATACAATGTCTAGCACGGGGCAAACCAAAGAAGTGTTCATAATCACTCCTGATCGGTTTGCTCAAATGCTTCAAGAAGCTCTAGCCAAGCAACATGAAGAGATTAGAGCTAAGATGAAGACGGAGATGGAGTTGGCTATCCAACAAATAAGAGAATTACAAGCTCAACGGCTTCAACCTCCTGAGTCCAGTCAGCGAGCTGAATCTAGTCGCCACACTCAGAATGTTATAGATGACAGTGATCCAGAAGTGGATAAAGTCATTATGGTTGATACACCTCCTAATAACAATAACGCTGGGGTGATTCAACGGATCCTCTCAATAATAATATTAGGGGTGGTTCAATTGCACTACTAAAAAATATCAAAGGTGACCGAATTGTTTCTGTTCAACATCACTCGAAGAGAGATGAAGACGACGACGATCGAGATGATGAAAGAGCTAGAAAATAAGGTAAATGCCTTGATGTCCGTTCAGGAAGTAAAGAAGATGGGTATTCATTGTCCCTATCTAAGAGAATGAGATTCAATCCCGTACCCGGCAAAATTCAATCTGATTAACTTCACACCGTTTGACGGGAAGAGCTCGCCTACTCAACACTTGATCTATTTTAAGTCTCATTTGGACATGATCTTTGGAAACGAGGTTTTGATGGTCCGGTCATTCGTTGGCACCCTTCGTGGGGCCGCCTTCGATTGGTACCAACGTCTCAAGCCTGAGAGCATCAACTACTGGGATGACATGAAAAGTTTGTTCCTCAGTAATTTCTTTGATGATGACACCGAAGTGTCAATCGGGACACTTCTGGATGAGAAGCAAAAGGATGGAGAGTTAATTTTGTCAAGCATTTCCGTAACAAGGCAATGAATTACAGAAATCCAGTCACAGAGGAGTTCATCCTGCAGACATGCCATAACAATCTCTCCATTAATGTCCTGGAAGCATTGGGGGTCGTGCCTTTAGCCACTTGGAAAGAGTTAAAACTATGCGATAAGCTGAACTCTTTCTTAAAAGAAAGAAAGCTGAGAGAAGCTAACCGACGACACCTATAACCGCTGTGAACGCCAATCAACCGTCACAACAGCAACCCTAGAAGCAACAGAAGACTCCCGATCTAAAGTCTCCGAAAGAGTATTCTTTCGAAGATGATAAAGTTTCAGCCATCTTGAAATACCTCCTTGCCAATGACAAAATCGGGCTACCACCTATTAAAGATCAGGAGGGAGCCAAGAGGATTTCGGGTCCAAACTACTGTGTGTATCACAGAAGGGTTCTTCATCCCACCAAGGTTTGCTTTGGCCTTAAAAACAAAATGCAAGTCTTAATTGACTCCGGTGTCATAACGGCAAAACAAGCCAAATAAGGACATCATATGACTCTGATGAGTACACGAGTATAAACTGCTTCTCCATGTGACTCCGATGAGTACACGAGTATAAACTGCTTCTCCATGTAACTCCGAAGAGTATAAGAGTATAATCTGCTTCACCCTTTCCTCCGAAGGGTATACGAGATTAAACTACTGTAATGACCATGAATTTTCAATACTAGTTAAAATAATTTTTCTGGTATTTAAAATATTCAATTATTATTTTTAAAAGAGTATTTGTATTTTCTCGATTTTTTTAGAATTTTCTATAATTTAAAAATCTATTTTATATTTATTTAAATGACTTTGATAATTATAAATTAACCTGGTGCTGTGAAAACTTTTAAATTAATATTTGTTAGGTTATTATTATTGTTACGTATTATTTGTAAATAATTTTTCCCTAATTAATTTCTTAAGTTTGTTTAATTATACCTTAACCTGTTATATATATATATATATATATATAGTGTATATTATATCTATTATATATGTATATATTTATGAGAATATTTAATGATTTTATTTTTGGATTTTTTTCTTTAAATCGATCTTGAGAAGGATCATTTTAATTTGTTCGCTTTGGACTAGCTTTGGTTTAAAAAAAAAATTATTTAATAAAATTATATATCTTTCTAAAATGGCGGGAGTACAAGCCCTTCCTCAAATAATAAATTAATTATAATAATAGGACTATTATACCTCTATAGTTATGTTAAATGCCATGGGGAGACTAAATAGAATAAAAGTAATAAAAAAATTTAGGGACTTACTAGAATATTGAAATAAGAGTTTAAAAGCTTTTTAGAAAAGTATGGTAAAGTTTAGGGACTTAGTAGATTAAAATTAAAGTTTAATGGCTTCTTAGAATTCTTAGAAAAGTAGAATAACCTTTAGGAGCTAGCTAAACTTTGAGCTCTATAACTTAATGTAATCAGCTTGTGAGCCTATCCTTGAACTAATTTTCGGGTCATGAAAGAAGTATATATTAACCGTTCAGCAACTTGGTCCAAGATGTTAACATTTCACAAACGGGGAACTTCAGAATATTTTTTTTCTTTTACATGAGTGTATATAAGTAAATCAAAACTATACCTATCTATCTATACTATTATATAAAAAACCAAGTGGGAGGGAAATCTAAAATTTGGATGAGTTGTGGTTATGTTCTCATTTTCTGTTATACTTGGAAGGACGAAAAGGTAATTTAACAAGAGGCATCTTTATTTTTTTTCATTTCTTTTTTCCTAGAATATTCCATATATCATACAAACATTTTGTCTTTCTTTTATTTCTTTTTATTTTTTAATTTTAATTTTTATTTTTATTTTTTTATTTTTATTTGTATTTTTATTTTTATTTTTTTGGTTTCCTAGATTGTTTTATACCATACTCCATGAAGCCCATATAGTCACATATCCATTATATTTTAAACTCTAAAGTGAATATAAATAAAATTATAGGTTCCATGTAGTCACATATCCATTATATTTAAAATTCTAAAGTGAGTATAAATAAAGTTATAGGTTCGTTCTAGCAAAAATTATAATATGTATTGCAAAAAGAAAGCTAAACAATATGAGTGAGAGAGAGAGAGAGAGAGAGAGAGAAAAGAAAGCTAAACAATATGAGAGAGAGAGAGAGGAGAGAGAGTGTGTGTGTATATAGAAATTATAAAGTTTGTGCATTACGAACTTAAAATAAAACATATACAAACTATATTAATAGAGGTTAAAAATCTTATCTTTCCATACATTTAAAAAAAACTTTCCTTAGGCTTAAGATATCATCACATTATAATTATAATCAAATCTCTAATCCATTTTGAGATATAGGAGTATATTAAAAAAAGCTTTGCGCCTCTTGCACCTGCATGTGCACTTGCAATAATGCTAGTGGTAGTTAAGTGGAACTTGCAATAATGCTAGTGGTAGTTAAGTGGTATTTAGTTAGCTGAGCCTGTGGTTCTCCTTGTAACTATAACAAGGGAATTTACTTTTTGCAAAGATCACTTTCTAAATAATTTCAATCAATTTACAATTTATACCATTTTTTGGGGTGTTTTCCGATATAGTCAGTGGCGTAGCCAGGAATTTTTTTTGCCTTGGGCAAAAAATCGTTGGGCTACGCCACTGCCAGACTGCCTCCATCACCAGCGTCCCCCTTGGTTTCCACGCGAAGGCGAGCAACATGAGGACGGTAATCTAGGTCACCACCATGGCCGGAATAGCGACGGAGAGGGCGGCGTCCATGGAGAGGAGGCCGAAGACGCCGCCGTAGAGGACGGAGGCGTAGAGGGCCGACCAACTGGCGGAGAAGTAGGAGTTGGAGCGTAGAGGGCCGGCCACTTTCTTGCCCTGGGCAGCTGCTCAGGACAAGAGTACCCTGGCTACGCCCCTGGGTATAGTCCAACAAATATGTAATATTATTAAATTGATTCCCCAAATTATCATATTTTAAATTAGTCCCCCAATCTTTAAGCATTCTGAAATTGGTCTCCCATTTTGTTAGATGTTTCGAAATTAGTCCCTCTAGTTAACACCGGGTTGAAAATTTTTGGGGATTATTCAAAATATGAAGACTCGGGAAGATTAATATAAAAAAATAGAAAGATTCGGGAGACTAATTTCAAAATATTGAAGAGTAGGGGACTAATAATGCGAAAAACCTTTGTTCTTTATTCTAGAAAGTTGATAGACATGTGGGTGACATGGAATTAATTCATGTATTTTGGATGATAGCCAGATCTCTGAAGATTCGGAACAATTTCGTATGCTATTGATAATTGATTGATCAGGGATTGATAGTTTTAACAGTTGAAAGCATCATTTGAACTGATTTAGCCTTTAGTTATCGTTATTTATTAAAAGTCTCTTTCACGGGGTCTTTAGTATTTATATATATATATTTATTCAGAACTATCCGGTCTCTTAATTAGTATTTTAAAACACAATCATCACAAAATTGTAGCTATCCTGAGCTAGTGCTTACCTCCCCCCTCCGGACACATAAATTTTCTTTTCTTTCCAAATACTCCATAAAATTATCATGAACTATTAGGATTTTCAACAAATATATCATAAATCGTAAAGTATAAAATTAAATTTATTGGAGAACAATATCATTAAAAATTTCACGCAGATGGTCAATCTGCGTCTATCCCCAGTTAACCCTCAAAATAAATATCCATAACCAAGTATCTGAACAATTATTATATAAATTTAAAAAAAAATATGAACAATCAGCACAATATATCAAGCAAACACATTTAGTATCCAACACAAATCTGTACAACGACAATTACTTGAAGAGCAACATACACAATACTACTAAACCGTTCACTCTTCTTCTTCAATACAAACACAAATCACACAAGTTTTACTGCCAATATACTTGAAAGCATAATTTCACAAATATCAAGAGGTTTATCTATTAAACAGAAGCTTAGGCATGAACAGGGTTAAGTACTTTATTGTTGCCCTCTGAAGCAGCAACACTGTCATAGTACTCAACCAGCACTTTCCATCCGCCAGGGCACATGAATCCATCCGGTGGGTTCTCTTTGTTCTTTGCTAGGGTTCGCATCTGTGAGAGATAAAATTCGATATTAGCATAGTTGTATCTTGGTTGTTCAATTTTATGTACATGAGTAGATATATTCATTTTACCTTGGTGCCGGAGATGAAGAGGAAGTCCTGAGGCCTCGATGGGTCGAAGAAATCCATTTTGCCCTGGGTTTTATCGTAAGCAGCCACCTGAAATTATGCACAAGTAGATAATTATGCAGAAGTATTGCTGAAATTCGAGAAACATATGAGAATTTTTTGTCAATTGTTCATAAAATCATGGGATCTTTCCCCCTTGCCAGGGGCTAATTCCTCCTTAGTAATTGAGGATAAGTTTGAACCCTATATTAGGTAATGGAGGTTAAGGAAGTTTCAGATGGCTCCAGGTTTTAAGGAAGTACTCTTCTATATGCCATGTTTTCTGTAGTTTTTTCCTTAATATAGGAACTTTATGAGTTTCCTAGTTAAACAAGCTTCAATCATGTGAAAAATAAGGTTGCAGCCTTAGTTGTAGAGAAATCCTACAATCTTGTTACGTAAACCAATTACATGTTTTCCTGCTGTTGGCCCCATGCAAGTTATTTACTTGCATAAATTATCAAGAAAAAATTTAAAACTGTGAAACCCACATGATTAAGAGATTTTACTGCTCCAAACGACCAGTTTGTAGGATTTCTCTACAATCAAGAATGGAGCATGACCGGTTTGTAGGATTTCTCTAAAATCAAGAATGTAGAGCATTCGAAGCCAAGCTTAAGTAAGTGGGTGAGTTGTGGGGTTATTTCCTTTAAAAAAAACTTTGAATATTTATTAACTACTTTGCAGTCGAAATTGGAAAATATGTGGACGGATGAAGTTCTGGCCAATGCAATCAAAGAGCAATAGTCAAGTTTTTTTAAGATTTGAATATTTATTAAACGAACAAGCTTATGAAAACTAGGGGGCTTACCCTGAATGGTAGGATGTTAAGCCTCTCAAGCCCTGGGGCCATGCTTAGTACTTTTTTCCCATGATCTGCATCGTATAAGTCTCTCTTTTCAACCGGATGACTCATACCAGCTGGATCTCTCCCCACAATGTAAAAGTTAGCACCTGCATTTATTCGAGCCTTTGCATGCCACTGCACCTCTGTTGGTCCCGCATAATGCATTGGCGAGGGGAAGATTGCAACCACCGTCGTCTCTGGATTAAGTACACCCTCCTCAAGAACCTATAATAAAATTCATAGTAATAGAACAAGAATAAGACACATATGATTATATCAACATATGACTAGACCAGCCAATAAGACAATAACATGAAATATTCTCTCTGATGATAACCCCTCCCCTACCAGGGACAGGGGATTATATGCAACTTATCCTCCTGAAAACATGAATCCAGGAGTGACAATTGCTATGAATATAGTTGATGATTGATAAGCAGTACTAAAGGTAGAGATTTATTTTATTTTATTATAATTTTTTTGGATATCTGAAATAAACATGTCTTCACATCACAGATAGAGACAACTCTAACAGTGTGTTTGACAAACCAAAAAAATCGAGCTAGGGTTAGTTGTGGACTGGGGTTTCGGTTGGCTTGTGTTTGGCAAAAATCTAGTAGAATTGGCCCAAACTATGTAGGCTAAGAGATGGCCCTTAAACCAGTTTAAAACCGGTCCACCCCCTTGTTTGTTCCTATCCCGGTTAGGATAAAAGAGGGCGAGGACTAATCCAGGCCTGGTATTTAAGGGTTTGCCAAACTGACCTCAAGGGCTTGTTTGGCGTTCAGCAACTCTACTCCTAATCAGGTTAATAGAACTAACCTGCTTAAAGGATAAAATTTTGTTTGGCAAAAACTGAGTCATTTACTCATTTTTAGTTCAAATTAAACTAGTTTAGTTCCAAACCTGGGGAAGTGGTCCAAATCTAAACAGGTTTAGGCTAAAATCAATGCAAGAACTAGTCCTAAGAACTTAAAGTTACTGGAAAAAATCAACCAATCAAACCTTTTCATGTTGCTTCATTCTCGAAGTAAGCGGCACATCATCTGCTTTCGTGTAGCCTCCCAATGGGTGAAGCAATAGAATTGGATTTTTGTAACCCATTTCTAGAAGGCGCCTACGAGTGTCAGTCATGAGCAAAGCATGGCCATTGTGCACAGGATTCCGAAGCTGGAAAGCAAAAACTGCATCAGCTTTGCGCCTTGAGAACTCTTCTCGGAGTTGTGCAGGGGAGAGGCGATATTGATCGAGGCCATCATTGTACTTGATCGGCTCTATCACCTCAAGATCTCCACCAACTAACCAGTTTCCAGATTTTGTTATTGCTTCCTCAACATAGGGAAGTCCTGGGGCAGTTGTTCCCCAAGTTCTTGCAATTCGTTCTTCTTTATTGTGTTTGTAGATCTCAATACTAAAGAAGAGAGAGAAAAATAAAAAGTATGAGTATCTGAAAGGGTGAATGCAATGAAAACATACTGAAATAGATTGAGACAAGTGGACCATGTTCACTTACATTACATGGAACATCTTGACAATCAAAACAACCATGAAGAGTATCTTTTATTTCAAATCTTGCATTGTTTTAGGTGTTGTAACAGTTAAGTGAATGGATAGTCATACTACCCTTATTGGATTTCAAAAAATCAGTGCATGTCTGACTATAAACCTGAATCAGCTCTCTTAAATTTTTTGCCACTGTTATACATATTTAGCATGTAGACATACAGGCTATTCAAATGGGGGACGAAAAGGGAAGGAGGAAAAGGGAAGGAGGGGAAGCCAAATTAGTTGGAATAGGTTGTCATTTATAATAAAGGGTTAAAATAATGATGACTAAAGAAAGAGGAACCAGGACATATTGTACTGGCTTACAGAATATCATGATGAATAGTCAAATGGGGGAAAAAGGACATGTTAAAGTGAAATGCTAATCAGAAAGCATTCCTTCAATGTTTTTGCTAATTAATGGAGTAGCTTTTCGAGAAATATGGAATTACAAGATTTGAGGAGCGTGTATCAAAATAAAGATAGATTTTAGAGAGTAAAATTAGGGAAGAAAGTGAATCATCCAGCATTCTCAAGCATAGTTTTCTAACGATAACTGGATACTCAACTGAACTATGATATATTTATCGAATCCCTGCCAACTTCCAGCAAAAATAACAAAAGAAGGAAACCTAGGAAGAAAAAAGAGGCAAAAAAGGAGGAAACACTTTGAATTCTGAAAGAAAAGGTACAATGCAGATCACTATCTAAAGAAACACTTTGAAATCTGAAAGAAAAGGCACGATGCAGATCACTATCCAAAGATAACCAAATCCCCATCTATCTGAAATATAAACTTGCACATAGCATTAAGTAGAGCAAGTCTATAAGCTGAATTTTCTCACGATGACATATACTAGGATACTGTTATCTATCTGATACATATACTTATATTGCATGAGAAGTACTATAATTTACAAGTTAAACCAGGAGCTTAACAACGTGGAGAAACTCGAGTACCTTCTAGAGAAACTCGAGCATCCAGCGTCCAAACTAAATAAGTACATAAAATAGGAAATAGAAGAAAGTGGACGTGACAGAATGTAGAAGGGTTGAAACATAGTGCAGTATGTTATTAACATGACTCTTCTAGCTAAGAAGTTAGCCTAAAGTCAATGATGGGTGATTTACATATGGTTTCCACTGCTTAACATGTATAAATAAATTCATGCAAGTTTGATGCCTCTTAATCATGTGTCAAGTGGTTCTACAAGAATAGTTTTCCAGTAATAGAATGACTGAGGCAATTGGTTGGTGATTAGTAAAATTTAAAAATACATGAGCTTTTACGTACAACTATTTTAGGGCATGGTGATCTCAACGAATAATTTGCTTCATACGTTTTAGAGGACAAAGATATGATGTGGGACTTCTTAACACTTAATCGGGACACTTTATTTTATATGGTGTATATCACAAATAGGCATATTTACGTATAACCATGAACATGAGTACGTACCCTCGCATATGATATAATATGCAAACATACACAGACGATCGCAAATTGATCGTGTCTGAGCGCGTGCATGCATGTCAACATACAAATGTCAAGTCCAACATGACGAAACAATTCAAATGCACATATAGAAATATATTAACACGCATACGGGGCACCAAACTAAATTAGATATGGAAATAATTTAATCAGTTATTGCATTTTGTAGTCAATCCTTATGGGTCCCATTGGACGAGAAATCTAAATGCTGTCAACCGATAACGTGCTATGACTTATTTAATCTAAATACATGCAATTTGCTCCTCTATATATGGTCTTTACATGCATGAAAGCATGTGTAGTTCTGCTCGAGGATCAATATAAGAGATCATTTGATGATAGTCCTATAAAGTCAACTCATGTCTTCCATTCAAATACCTTTTAAAAAAACAAATGTATTTATTAAAACATAGGAGGATAAAGTAAATAATGTTTTTTTAAAAAACTTAACAGAAATATTCGATGCTTTATTTATAAGAGATGATGAAAATATCCGCCTTTTCTCAGTTACAATAATATAAGTTACTAAGCACAGATTCATCAGGAGCACTACAAAATTCACATAACGACATAAACTGTTTCAAGTCGAAGGATCTATTAAAGTTGATCTGTTAAAATTGAAGAAAGTCATATATGAAAAATCTTCCTATGCTCCAAGGGTATCTTCTTATTAAAAAACCCAAAAAAATATCACGACTTATAATAACCCCAATCATATCAATCCAACAAACTGAGACCAGTTGAACCAACTAAATAAAACAAATCCGCATATACAAAAATAGGCACGAAAGAATAAATTCTCCACCTACTATCTTATGATTTTCTTTTTTCTTGTTTCACTTTCCTCTCATTTGCCTGACCACTTTTTCTCTCCAAAAAATAATATAAATAAAGTATATAAAATAAATAAATAATATATATGTTCACCTGGCGATAGCATAATTTCATGATTTTCCATTAAATGGAGAGTACAATAGGATTCCAGTTTCAGATTTATCCTCCCAAGGACATGTACTGAATCAATAGGTAACTCAACTCAAATTTTGGTTTTTGTGAGTGCTCTAGGAACAAGTTAAACTTTTTGGAAAACAATGAATTTTTAATTCAAAACCCTCTATTTCATTTTTACTCAGGACGCTTAAACTCAACTAGGAGTATTCTTAAACTAAGCTTTTAACATATCAAGCAACAATCATCTGTTTCCATTTTTTTCCTTTGTGAAAAATGTTAAAAGAACAATATTACCATAAAAGTAACAAACCAAACATACCCATTTCGTAAATCCCAAATTAACCACCCCAGTCTACCAAAACAAGCAGTACCCATATTCAAAATCAACATAAAAACTCATAAAAATCATTTTTTTTTATATGAGGGGCAACAGATCCTAAACTAACATTTTAACATATCAAACAACATCATTAGAAGAACAATCTTCACCCAAGTCAATCTTTAGAGTTTAAGTACTCACAAGCTACAAAAGCTTAGACTATGGAATTTTTTTTTTTCCATTCTTAAGATACCCATATTTAATACCAAAATGACAACCCCAAACAAAGCATCACCCAAATCGGAAATCTAACACAAAAGCCCATTAAGAAAAAATCCAAATACTTACTCGTTCAAAATGGCGACAGGCTTGTCTTTTTCATCAACCAGCACAATTCTCCTCCGATCCCCGATCTCCCTCTTCTTCTCTTCGTCGATCGCCAGCACGATGGGCACCGACATGTTGACAACCGACCCGCTGTCGGATCGGATCGAGTTGAAATGAAGTGTTTGGAGGAACTCCGACTCTCTCATGAACCCGTTAAGGGGGCTGGCCCACCCCTCGCTCAGCACGTGGGCCCACTCGAGGTTCGGACCTCGACCAGCACTGACGCGCGGTAGGCCCCCCGCCGCCTCCGCCTCCCTCCGCCGGGATTCCCTTGAGGCCCACCGGGACCACCAGGTCAACAAGCCTTCCGCCGTCGGGCTCGATCAGGGAGCACGAAACACGGGAGGGGCGTTTCGGGAAGGAAACAGGGGAGGGGTAATTTGGGAATAGGGTTTGGTGGCCGTGGAGCTTTGGGGACGAGAATGGGGTTTTGGCGAAGAGGGCTGTCGGCATGGACGCCATCTTTTTTTTATTTTCTCGGAGTGGCGAAGGGAAGTTTTTTGGGCTGTGCTTTAAAAAGTTTCGGAGGTGGGGGTATTTTGGGAATAGAAAAGTTATTGAGTTTTTAATTATGTGGTCCTTTATTTAAACGTTTATTATATCCCACGAGGCACTGTTCAAAGTTTTTGGGTATTTGGTAAGATGAATGAAGATGGGAACCTGGGGTGTGTTAGTTTGATGGATTTGGAGGGAAAACGGTACGAGGATGAATGTGGGCTAGAGTTCTCTTGTCTTTTTATGTGGCGCGCCAATAGCAAAAGAGGATTCGGGGTCTCGTGTTGGTTCCTTTTGATTCTTTGTGGCCAAAATGATAGTTTAAGATGGAGGATTAGGGCCTTTAAGCTAAGATTTGTTCGGTTCTTCGCTTTGAAGATTCACATTAGTTTTTCTTTTTTTCCTTTTTTTTTTTTCATTTTTCCTTTTCTTTTTCCACCTTGCTAAGAATTCCATTGCCGCGACCAAGGTGGAAGAGCAAAATGGTGAGGATAATCAAATATCTAGATAATAACCTTTTTAAATTTGTTAGTAGCTATTTATTACAAATTTTTGGGAGAGTACTAATTTTATTATACTACCACTATTTAATTGATTTTCAAGAAATCTAATTTGTGACCATTTTTTTTTCTAGCCCATTTCTGACTCATTTGTTCAGAAATGAATTTCCTTCTTTTTTGAGGCCTAATGCACTATTCATATTTCTAGAAGTGGGTCTCACATATACTTTTTTTTCCTCTTATTTTTTTTTCCCCAATCAAACAAAATAAATGAAATAATTGTAGGAAATTTATTTCCTACACTCGCTTTTCCTAGAAGTGGGCCTCACATATGCCATGATCACGTGAATTCAAGGCAAGACACAATAGGGGTTGTTAGTGATTAATAAATAATTTTTCTATACCAAATGGAGACTCCAATTCCCCCAATATAATAGGATTTGAACACAATTATTGGTACCATGCAAAAGACTAAGATAAATGTTTCTTGTGACCTTGTTATTCATGGAATCCATTGATAGTGACAAAGACTAATCTAAGATTTTCGAAATTAGTTTCACTATATAATTAACAGTGAAAAAATTTCCAGTTGTCTCCTATAAGTTCACATTTTGAAAAGTGTTATTAATCGCATCATTACGAATACTATCAAATACATATTTCCTAACATATACCACTACGTAATCATTGAGTCAATTATCACTTATTATGTTTTGCAACTTGCTTTTTTATTAACTCTGTTGCAGGAAAAATCTATTTCTAGTTCAATGTGATTCTAGTACCTAGCCAATCCATTTCTTTCCGTACTTATCTATATATATTGTCTAATTAAAAGAGTAAATGAGAACGCTGGAAATAAATATGATCATAAAACTATTACCTCCTACAGAAATTAGGAAAACTTATTTTTATTTAGTTCTTAGTCTCTATTTAATTAAAATTTACTTTATCTTTTTATGGTTATTGATCAAATTCATTAGGCTGTGTTTGGCAATGGGATAAATGAAGGGTTAAGAGGGTTTAACCCTCCATTAACCTGCCAAACACCAAAATTACCTCAAGAGTTAGTTAACCCTCACGTGACCCCAAAAACCCATTTAACTCGTGATTCGAAGGGTTAACAAATCCTTTCAGATAGGCGGAACAAGGCTTAACCCTCCTTCTCACGCGAGGGTAGGCGATGGAAATTTGATGTTGGCAATGGAAATTAGGTAGGCGGTGGAATTTCGCATCTTGGCAGCGGAAATTGGGGAGGCCAGATATCTTTCAGTTATACGGTATGATTCGCATCAAGCAGTTCTTCCCCAAAATCATTTCCCTCTTCTTCTTTCCCTCCAATTTTTCCCTCTAAAAAATTTCCTCCTTCTTTTCCTCAACTATGAATAGTAATATTTTAGGGGGAACAAGAGAGGAATTTGCAGCCGATTGGGATCTCAAAAGACGGGAGGCAAAGAAAAGAGAGGTATGTTGATTTTGCAATATCGATTTGGTTTCCAAATGTTTGTCATACAATCGATAATGTTCATATGAATCTCTTTGGTTGATTGATGTTTTTTTCTCTTATTAAAAGCTTGCTGAAGGATGAAATTTAAGGCTTTTATTCTATATTGTGATGCTACAATTTCAGAAAATATCATTATGAACCATTTGCTTAATTGTTTGTATACTAAAGAAGCTGGCGAAAAAGAAAGTAAATTGAAATGTACCTGAAATTGGAGAACTTGGGTCGATTACAAAATATTCTAGCATTTTAGTTGCAGAGTCTGACCTCTTCTTCTTTGAAATTGATCTCCTTGGTTCTCCTCTTTGCTTGATAGCTTTATGAAATATCTTAGATGGTTAATGGTATGTAATGGTTTAATCTTTATGAAAGTTAGAGAATGTTAATGGTATGTAATGGTTCATTTATAAAGGGTTATATATTTAACCTGCAAGTTTTTATTTGATGTGATTGCATATCAAATATAAGTTTATACAGAGTAGACATGTTGTCAAGAGACAGACCTGATTACTAGATTACAATAAAAAAAATTTGCTGCTAGTGACTCACATCTGCATGTTTGGTCTACTTTATCGCAATTATGTATGTTGTCAAAGTGATTCAGAGGAGGTACAAGAAGTCTAGTTTTAATGTTGTCATACATTATGTTTGGTCTACATTATCTCACTTATGTATGCTGTTAAAGTCTAGTTTTAATATTGTCATACATTATGTTGAAATAAACCTTAACAACTATTCAGTTCCTGGCTGCCAACATTTTCAGATCTTGTATTGAATTGTTTCAGACATCATAAGTTTTTTTTTATGCTTAGATGTGATATGATCAATTTTAGATTGATTGTTTTAAGACCCGGTGAATGAATGATTTCATATGGGTGCCTAAATGAAGATAATGCTTGTATCTTTCATTCAGCCAAGTACACGTACAAACACATACACATATCAGAACATTGAAAACGTCCTGTTTATGTTTGCTACTTGAGTGCTTGCTGCTTGAGCTTCCATATAGTTTTGTTTATGCTTCTGAGGATGGGACTAAATATGTGACATTGTACTCAATGTTCTGATTGCTTTATTCTCTATTTTATTTCATTGAGTCGATGATGCATTCCTTCGGTCAAATGATAATGATGTCGATGTATATTAACTTATTCATTTGCTGAATATTTAGCTATGCATTTGGGTGCAAAGATTTCTTATGCATCACCTAATTAGAGAATACTGACTCCTTGTTAATTTTAAGATTTTTATGAATTCATGTAAAATCAGGTGTGGGATTTGTATATTGGAGCCTCTAGTCCTGATTGCCCTCTGAATTACCTATCCTCATTTACCACATATTATCTTAGTAATAATTGATTATTATCTTAATCTTAAGTATCTATCCAAAACATGTACAACTCCATTGTGAAGGGTCTGACATAACCCCTGACTGGAAAAAGTATTATTAGGTATTAGTTATGTTATGTTATGCTATGCTTCACCTAATTAGAGAATACTATCTAGTTGTTAATTTCAATTATTTTGTGCATTCACAACAACATCTAACTGTACCTTCTCAGTTTTGTTTCAGCCAACATAAGTTATTTAACACTTAGATTTGATAATGTTTGTGTCTTTCAATCAGCCAAATACATGCACAAACACATACACATTTCAGAACATACACATTTCAGAACATGGTAAACTACGTTGTTTATGTTTGCTGCTTGAGTTTCCATATGTGATGTTGTACTCAATGTTCTGATTGCTTTATTCTCAACTTTATTTCATTGAGTCGATGATTCATTCCTTCTCAGTTTTGTTGCATTAACTGGACAATGATGTCGATGTATATTGTAATTATTCGTTTGCTGAATATTTGACTTATATGTCAATTTCATTAATTGGACCCTAAAAAATGTTCAAGGCTTATAAACAGAATTAAATCATAAATTTTCATTTGTACATTGTACATGCCAGTAAGTGTTCAGTTTTGCTTCACCTGAATAGAGAATACTGCTTGAGCTTTCATGCGGTTTTGTTTTTGCATCTGGGAATGGATCTAAATATGTGACATTCTACTCAATTTCAAAGGCTGAATATGTGACTTGTGTGACTGACATGTCAATTTCAATAACTGTAAACTCTAAAAAACATTCTCAGTTGTTAATACTGTCATGTTGCTTCACCTGATGAATGAATATTGTCATGTTGCTTCACCTGACATGTCAATTTTAGTTTTGTGTCAGACATCATAAGCACCATGTAACACATACACGCCATTACATCATATGCAGTAAGACATTGTTTACTAGCCATTGCTAAATATGTGACATTCTCTAGTTAATCCTCTTGTAACACACATATGTGACATTCTCTAGTTAATCCTCTTGTAACACACATATGTGACATTCTCTAGTACATCATATGTCAGTTTCATTAACTATAAACAAAAAAAATGTGAATGGTTTATAATCAAAACTAAACAGTCTTGCTTCACCTGATGAATGAAGAATTTCTTGTTGTTAATTTCAATTTTTTGGTGCAAAAAACAAAAAATGATTCTAGGTACACATTCTACTCAATTTCATTTGCTGAATATGTGACTTGTGTGACTGACATGTCAATTTCATTAACTGTAAACTCTAAAAAACATTCTCAGTTGTTAATACTGTCATGTTGCTTCACCTGATGAATGAATACTGTCATGTTGCTTCACCTGACATGTCAATTTCAGTTTTGTGTCAGACATCATAAGTACCATGTAACACATACACGCCATTACATCATAAGCACTTGATAAATGAATTTTTTTTGTGTCAGACATCATAATGTACACATACACGCCAGTAACACATACACATTTTAGGATTTCATAGTTGTTAGAAAACATAATATTTGTTATAGTTTGTTTTTGTATGTCTTTGTATTTCCAACACAATAGTTTACATAGCATTGTTCAATTGATTAATTTCTTTTAAAATTCTCATTATGATCTAGAATGGCTAAGAAGAACTTCATA